ACTGAAGTTATATTTTAACGTCTGCATGTCCGCGTCATGCTGCTGCTTCCACCTCTATCAGAAACTCGAGGCAGGTCTGCCCAAAGTTGGGGAGAGCGGGAAAAACAAAAACACTTCTTCTTCTGTGTAATCCAGAGAAAACCGAAGTGTAAACAAGACAAGTTGGAGTTATGTGACTGATTATTTCTTGGCGAGCGACGGTGAGTTTCTGGAGTCTCACAGTGAGTCCAAGCAGAGACGAGCGGCTCCACAAAGTCACAGTCTGTGAATAATCCACGAAGCACGGACTCATTCTTACACTTGGATGTTTGGACAGATAATAAATGAGAATAAACACGTAAATGCTTCTTGTTTCTTCTCCCATTTCTGCTTTCGTCCGTCTGCAGTTTGACAGACACGTTTATCCTGATCTTTTCATTTCAAAGTCAAATTCTGTTTATCGAGTCTAAAACAACAGCCTTGTTTGTTTATTTATTTATTCACCAGTCTCCTAAAAACTCCAAACTCCCAGTCCTGAGAAAGTAAGGAGGAAATCCTTTTCCACTCACAGCGAGGGGCCCCAGAGAGGGCCGAAGAAAAACGGTACATTCAGCAAAAACAACACTAATGACATTACACATGCAAAAACATTTAGATTTAAAACATGCAGACTGTTCAACTTTACTGAATCAGCCATTTCAACTGTGATTGGTCAACACGTTTGTTGTGTCCACTTTAGCACACTAAAAGGAAAACAAGGAAAAGCGTGATTTTGCAGGAATGTGAGCCGACCGAGCTGAAAGCACGTCACACACTCTGGATAAGACCGAAGGAAGAAAGAACAGACGCCGCTCTGCCCTTATACAGCTCTACGAGTTCAGTTTTACATGTTTGCGTACTTCACGGCACAACTCAGTCTTTCTTTCATTAAAGGATCCTTTTTCAAAGCCTTTACGTCATAAACTGCATCGGTTTTTACTGTGGTTTACTTCCCCAGGAGATCCTTTGGGATTAACTCGTCTCTTCTCTTTCCCCGGGCTCTGGCATGTAGCACCTTGCCCCTCTCCTTCAGTATATATGACTAACCCCACTGGTACTTTGATGATACAGGCACAAATAAAGCGACATTTCAAGTCTTTTTAACCACTCCTCGCAGGTGGTGAGATATCCTCAGGATAACCATAACAATCCAGAACGGGCTTATATTTGATTGAAGCCAATGCAGATGTTTTCCAATGATGCAGCCATGCAAAAACTCGAGCTTTAGCACTGCCTTAAAGTTCACCTACCAGTGGCACAAGCCGGTACCTCGACTAAAGGTCAGCACAGAGTCTGCAATCACTGATCAGTCCAACTCTTCTTAGTCTGCTCTCATACGCAAGCTAACAATCATGTAGCAGAACGGCGTCTGCAGTGAACAGTAACTATGAGTGATATGCAGCTAGCATGTAAACGATCTGTAGGGTCGTTTACTCATAACCAACGACACAAGTCGCTCCCCGACGGCGTTCAGTCAGAAGCTATATGCAACTATTTAAGACTGTCTATGGAAATATTACAAATTCAAGTCCCGCCATGACGACACACAGAGCACGCTCACCAGTGCAGTGCAAGCTCAGGGTGGAAGGAGGACCAGTGCACATGGGTGTCACACGTTACAGAGCATGATGTAGTATAATGAGCATGATGTTGCCTTCAGTAAATGTTTCAGCTCGTCATGGTGAGATTGTAGCTGCGGCTGTAAACTCAGGAAAGTGTCCGAGTCATAAATCAACCAAAGATGTTTGACGGTTTTTGTCCCACATACGTCCATTTTTGGACCATAATCACTTTAAATTATTTTTACTTTGCCAGTAAAGATGCTCATAGCTCAATTACTCGCTCCAGGTTCTACACAGTGCTCCAAATTAATATACAAACTGTGTTTAAGTGTCATAAAGATTAAATAAGTTGTTTTCCAGTTAAACCCTTGGATTGTGTCTCACGACTATCACTGAAATCAACCTCGGACACCTGTGTTCATTAGTTTGCCAGCTGAGCCCAATTAAAGGAAAAACTCCACATTATTAAGCAAACCACCATTTTCAAGCAATATAGGAAGTAAAAATGATCTCTGCTGCTGAAAAGCGTGAAATAGTTGGATGTCTTGGACACGTAATGAACACCTCAGATATTTCATGAAAACTTAAGCGTGATCACCATGATGTTAAGAGATCTGTGGCACACACGGCTTCGTGCAGATGAAGGCACGATGATGAAGGTTTCTGCCAGACAAACCTCAGAGAGCAGCAGCTAAAAGACCGTTACTAAGCAGCAAACACATATTTGAAGCTGCTGGTGACTCCGGAGCCCTGCGAACGTCAAGGTGTAGGAGCCTCCAGAGACTCGTGTGGTCCCCATTTTCCCCTGACCTCAATCCTACGGAGGACCTTTGGAGGATCCTCAAGCAAAAATAAAATATGAGGGTGGGAGGGCGTTCACATCCAAACAGCAGCTCTGGGGCTATTCTGACATCCTGCAAACACGTTCAAGCAGAAACTTTCCAAAAACTTACAAGTTTCATGGATGCAAGAATCATAAAACTGCTATCAAATAAGGATCCTGTGTTAATGTGTAACCTGACCTGTTGAGATGCTTTTGATTTCAGTGACATTGATCCACTAATGCTGCAAATTCAACAAATGACCATTTTCATTTCTCTACAACCTGTAAAATGTTTTGTGTGCGTAATAATTAGGAGCAAAGCATTTTAAGTTTATTTTTGAAAAACGCTGATTTCATTGGGAGTTTTGTTCAGTAACAGTTGGATTGTACTCTAATGGTTGATGACTCGAAAATTATGCCGACTGTCATTTGAATCGACTATTTAGGAAAAACAGAGAAAAATCATTTGCATAATAATTATGAACGAGGTGTAGTTTGAGAACGACCCTGTGGGAGGACGTTCTGTATTTTAATACAGTTAAGTCCACAAATCATGAGAAAGTATACTCTTTCATTTCATTTCATAAAAAGAGCTCCCGTGGAGATCGTGCAGCTCTAAGAACTCGTACACACCTGTGCGGTAAAGACAGATGGTTTCTCTGAAAACCTGTGAGATATTTGGCAGACTAAACTAATTTTCCCGTCTTCTCATTGAAGTCACAACAGTCATAAAACGAGGCCGTTTCAGATCAATGATTTATGGAGCATGAACGGGCAGAATCGCAGGATTACAGAAAATATGAGAGAAAAGCTTCCAACAAGTGAGGAAAACA